ATGACGTAGATGTACTTACTTGCAATATCCTTCCGTCATCGTTCCATTGTTAGTTCTCACAGTCACGCACTGGGCGCCATTTTTGCACGGGTCTGGCGAGCAAGAGGGCAAACCTATACACACAAACACACAAAAGAAATGTCAGCAATTTCCTCCGGAGGGGGGGGTGGAGAAGGACAACTTACAATAAATAAAACGACGTTTAAAATGCTTTTTACGCACGTCATTTTAAGAAACAATTACCTAGTCGTTGTCGTCGTCATAGCGACCCCGCGTTCAACCACCGCGCGTGCGCGAGTGAAAAACAAGTAGACGCCATAACTCGGTACAGATGACCTCCACAGTCACCTCGTTGCACTAATCACGTACTTTCATCGCAAGAACTGCCACCATCATCATCAACAGTAGTCCGACGAGGCTGTGCGACTGATTGTCTAACTGTGCGACTGATGTTCTAACCCTAGCAAGACCGTTTATTGGAGCTACATCAACAGCAGCAGTAACATAGAGACCCATATTAATTTTAATCATCTCGTTCATAATTTCACCTCCTCTCCCTCTCCCCTTCCTCCAACAGACTAGGTTGAAGAATGGCGGAGGCTTGGCTGCTGCCGTTGTTTCCCACGCGGTTTTTCATGCTGCCCGCTAACATGCCACCGCCGGCCGGTTTCGTGTCTCAGTTTTTGTCACGACTCTGCCATCTCGAACCGGCGTTTCGCTGCGCGCAGAGCAAACAGCAGTTCGGATAATTCTAACCATTATTTCCTATCAGCTCGTGCAGTAGTGGCGCAGCCGTCCGACACTTGTTACATATAAATGCGCGGGACGCCAGTCGGATATCTGCTATCGGCTACCAAGCGATTTATTTCAGCGAGCAAATAGGAGCGTGCTTATCAAAAACCGAGATTGGAAGTTTTTTGTCGCGGGAACGAAGCGATAAAACACTCGATTACAATTTATTTTTCTCTCAGGTGCGCGCTTGTGGTGTAGTGCGACGTGTGGATGGATGGATGGGTGGGTGGATGGCTGGATGCATGCATGCATTGATGGATGGATGGATAGATGGATGGATGGATGGAGGCAAGTACATGAAACCGCGACTCGTGACCGGCGTAACATCGACTAAAACATCGCGAGAGTGAATATATACAAGTTTTCATTCGTTTCGTGATTTCATTCGTCTTTTTATTCGATAGGGGGAGTAGCCTCATGCTCAGGTGTCGTACATCTGCGTGGTTTGTCTGTCTCACCCCCAACCCGCGTGTTTCACATCCTGAGAAAACTAACACAGGATATGTTATTCACGACAATTATGATTTTGTTGTGCGTTTAGCTACTTCACACACACGCACACGCACACACACGCGCGCACACACACACACACACACACGCACGCGCACGCACACGCACACGCGCACGCGCACGCGCGCACACACACACACACACACACACACACACACACACACACACACACACACACACCGTGCCCGACAGAATACCACCGCTCGCAAACCTCCCTCGTAATACAACCTGAGAGTTGTTACCGGGGGGCGTGGATGGGAGGGAGGCGGTGTAAGTCAATGTCCGCGCGTATCCCGATCTCTCGATTTATGTATCCTAACCGGCGAGAATCAACAATCTTCGCTGAGCTAATGTTTCCCGTCTATGCGCGCTCACCGCCGAACTACACCCGTGTTTAATGACACAACTTAATTGATAAATACGGCGGCGGGGCATGTTTCCCTCAATACTAGTCGAGGCGTGCGGTATTTCTCACGTGCACTACCAACATAATATCCGCCTGTGATGCTGCATATGATCAAGCGTACATAATAGAGAAGATGTGATGTTATGTGCTTGATATTATGTGCTTACACGCCGAGTCCCCCATTCCCACGCCTCTGCCCTATACCGATACTTGGGAGGTCAATTCTTGAACACTTCACAGCTATCAACACGAGTAGAAGTAGAGAGGGGTCTGGGTAATTTGTAACATGGGTATGAGTGAGAATATTCCAATGTCGTTTTTGAAGGGGAACATAAACACGAGATTTCTTGACACTAAAGTAAACTAATTATACACTGAAATGTTAATGTCACTGAAAGTTTGAACGACGCAGCATTCCACTGCCTACATAGTATAGAAGATAATTATATCTACATAATTATATCAGTGATTATATTATATAGTCATCCATAAAATAAACTGAGACGTCAGAAACTGAAAATAGCTCTCCGGCCCGCAATGTTCTTAAGGCAACACGACCGAAGGAGATACGGAATTAAAATAAATTTCCCCAACACGCGGATTTTATATGGTGTTTTTACCTCGTAAAATAAGTACGTAGAAGGCTAGAATACACATGAATACTATACTATAAATTGTAGTATAGTAAATTACAATAGTAAGAAAAAGTATATGTGCAAACATCTCCATGTTAAGTTACCGCAAAGACGTGGCAGAAGGTAATGCAGAACTAATGCTAAATGCTGTATTTCCCAAACGCGTTCTTTGCCGTTCTCTTAGCTTGCGAAATCACGGGTGTAAGCCGCATGAGGAACCACACACACACACACACACACACACACACACACGCGCACGCACATACACACACACACACACACACACACGCACGCACGCACGCACATACACACACA